TTCCTCTTCTTTACGCATTTCCAACGTTCCCATCCTTTTTTCCTCAATCCTTTCCTCCAAACCGTAGGTTGTGGAAACCACCAACAAATGCATTTCCAAAGAGAGTTGATGTTAGGCAGGCGGCCGGTCGTAAAACTATTATACGAGGTTTGTCCGGAAAGTACGTATAAAAGTTTTTTAAAAATTTTATTTTACAATTATTCAGGTAAATCAATTTTATCCCCTTCAAAGTACTCCCCCTGTGACATAATGCACTTGTGCCAACGCCGTTTCCACTGTGAGAAGGCTCCTTGAAAGTCCTCTGGTTGTAGGTTTCTCAGCTGCCCCGTCGTAGCTTTTTTTATCTCATTTATGTCCCCCAAATGCCGCCCCCGAAGTACCAATTTGGTTTTTGGGAACAAGAAGAAGTCACACGGGGCCAAATCCGGCGAATAGGGGGGGTGTTCGGTCACCGTAATGGAATTTTTACTCAAAAACTCACGGACAACAAGAGAGGTGTGGGCAGGGGCATTGTCGTGGTGAAGAATCCAACGCCCCTCTCGCGCCAATTCTGGACGAACTCGTGCCACACGAGCTTTGAGGCGTCTGAGCACATCGACGTAGAATTTTCCATCAACTGTCTGGCCTGGAGGGACGAATTCTTGATGGACAATCCCCCGAACATCGAACTCTTTCTCGGCCCTCTCTGAATCTTTTTAGCCACTTGTGGACGGTTGGTTCCTTCACAGCATCATCCCCATAAACTGTTCTGAGATCGGCAAAAATTTCACGGCCATTCTTGCCGAGTTTCGAGAGAAACTTGATTACGACGCGCTACTCTTCAACGGAAGCGGGCTCCATGCCGACGGGGTTTCGTTAAGAGGTAACTTCACAGATGGCGTGACAAGCCAGTTCGCACCGCACGGCGGTCAGACCAGAACTGAAGCATTGTTAGGGACATAAGGAAGGGGTCCTGCGCTTACCTGGCCTCCCCACTCCTCTTTCTCGCATTCCAGAACACTTTTATACGAACTTTCCGGACAGACCTCGTATAAGGCTATCCTTTAGTAATATGGATAAAACCATATTATGCCGACCACAAATAATAGTTGGGATAAGGGTAGGAAGATGATGATGATGATCATCATATCAGCTTTTAACTGTCCATTGCTGAACATAAGCCTCCACCTTTTTTTGCCAGTAGTTGCCACGCTTGGCAGGCGGATTGGCGATTGCAGTTAGGCTTTTAGGGTGATGTTTTAAGAGAATGCATGAGAGACCTATTAAAATTGATAAAATCAGTTACTTTGATTTAAAATCTAAACTACTTAATTGATTTTAACAAAGTAATAAACATAAAAAATACGTCTGAATTGATAATCTCCTTTTTTGAAGTTGGTTGAAAAGATATTATTATCATCGGTCAGTAAAATAAAAGAAAAATAACGGGGTTATGTTAATTTGTATTATTTTCTTAACATTCTAAGAAAATTCGACTAACTCGAGAAGGCAAATGAGACGGCAAGTATGGCAACCCTAGTCGAAGCTGCTATTTTTGTACAGGAAGCCATAGACAACCAAATCATGGACAATACCATAACATCACCGGACGCGGAGTGCATTGAATCATGGTTTCCGTATGTGAAGACGACCGTCCTAATACGTCGCGCGATTATGTGAAGCTCGTACGATCTATGGTATTTAGAGACATGATTTAATTTTTAACTAGCTACCCCGGGACCTTGCTCTCTTCCATGGAGATTTTTTTATAATTTATTTATTCCTCAAACTTTAATATAAAATTATAAGTGGCTCCTTTAAGGGATTGTTAGTAATGCGGGCTACCAGTCCCATTCCTAGCAATATACCCTGTCAGGTCGAACACCACGTCCCTCCCCCACCCCCTGAAAACCATCATGGTTAATTCCTGGTCAATTTGTCATGATGGGTGAATTAACTTGTTTTCATTCACACCTTGATAGATTACTATGCTGGCAAGATACCAGTGAAGAAATTCTTGCCTTACTGAGTCTCGCCAGCATATATTTCAAGGTTACCATTCTATTATGATAATGGAATGGTAACTTTGCCTACGCTATCGGTATACGTTGCCGGGACACCAGTGAGGGATGACAGGTGAGTATGAAAAAGCAGGTCAGTTAACCCATCGTGTTGAATACATCTGGAATTTAACCTGGAACAGCACGATGGTTTCCAGTGGAGACCACGTGGAGATTGGTCTGACAAGGTATATTGCTAGCAATAGGATTGATAGTTTGCATTACTAATAATCCCTTATCCCATCACATTATAAATAGAACTAGCTGTCTAATCCTGATCTAACTGTCTCTAGTTGTCGTTCCTTTTCAGTGTAATTGTTTTTGGCATGTATTAACGTGTATGTAGTGATTACCTCTTCGTAGCTGTGTATTTGGACATTACCAATTGTAGTCTTCATTGTAATATGTATCTTTATTGGATAACAATAAAGTTCACAATTCTTTGGTGAATTTATTGAAATTTACAATTCAGCAGCCTCTGAACATGACACGAAGCAATTAATTTGATTAGCTCGATGGAGCGAATTTTTTAAGTGTGCTCGAGTGGGTTTTGTTTGACGGAATTTTGTTTGTTGCCCTGATAAATCTATATCATTGAACCGGAGTAAAGAATGTTCTCTTTTATTTTTTAATGAATTAAACTAAAGAAAAACTTAAAAAAGAAAAGAAAGAAGAACAGATCCTAAAAAAATAATAATGGATATCCGTTCCCTAAGTGTTTTTTTAATGGGTGAAGATGAATGGATGGGGGTGATGGGGGAGATGGGGTAATCTGCGAGTGATGATATGTCAGTTGGCCTCTAATGGGGAATTCACTAGGAATTAACTACGATGGTGTCCAGGGGGGATTGCGTGGAGGATCTGACACGGTAGACTGTTAGCAATGAGGCTACTAAAACCCACAAAATTAACTATTACTAATAATCTACTCCCCCTCCTGCCTTCCCCTTTCCTCCCCCAGCCCCTAAGTGTTAGGTATCCGTGTTGCAAATTTTTCTTGGTTTTTATTCCGTGCGAATTCTTTTCCTCATACTTGGCAATTGTTATATGTATATATTATTATCGCGCGGTTTTTCCTGAGTTGTTTATGGCTTATACAGTTCCTATATGTTACACAATTGTATAAAAATGCGGTAAAAATTGTAGTGTGCATTTTGTGTGCCTATTTAAAAATGGAATGATTCTCAAAGACCTTTTAATATTGTAATCTTTTCACGAATTAAATAGCCGTTTTTTAAGGTGTTAAAAATCTGAATAACAAATTTATTAAAATCTAATAATAGAAGTAATAAAATTGATGTTTTATTCAACTCGGAAAGGCAGACAAGCTGACGGTCCACCTGATGGAATATGATAATCGTATGATATTAAAACCATGGTTACTATTAGAAAATATTGACGCTTATAAGTTGTCACTCTTGAGTATTAAGATGATAGGATATGGCCTGTACCCTGTAAATTCACCGCCATATCGCACCCTTCAAACCGATATACAGCCATATAAATACAACTACTTCCCGGTAAAATCACGAATAGCTATTCATATAAATACATTATATACTTATGGGTAACTGACAATTTAATCAACAACAATTGACAAGAAAAGTTGAGCAAACTAAAAGCAATTTCATTAAACTTTCGTATCAGTTCAATTTATACAAAACAAGCAAGTGAAGATGAAACAAGGAACTACGTTGTTATTGCTTGTTTTGTCTCCAATTTTGTTGATACGTAAATATTTATCTCGTTTCAATTACAGTGAATTTTGTATATTTTGTGTATTTTCTAGGAGACCGTGTATTTATGGGTTTATTTGTTGATCTGTGTCGTAAAACGGAATGGTACAGCGATTGATTACATTTTTTGTGAGCAGTCGACTGTTTGACTATCTACACAATATGGCTGATTGAAAATAAAGGAAGAGTATTTTATTATAATTAATTGTAAATTAATCCTATTAATATTATAATTGTGAAAGTTTGTACAGATGGATGTTTGTAACTTTGTTACGCAAAAGCTACTAAACAGATTTGAATGAAATTTGGTACACGTGTATATTATATCCCAAGTTTGCACATAGAATATTTTATGTACTGAATCATTTGGGCGAAACCGCTACTTTATAATATTTTTAAGCGATTTCTTAAACCTCCAGTTTTAATAATATTTAAATTGATTTAATTATTATATTAATAAAGTTTAAATTGGTTTAATATTAAATTAGTTGGGTAAATTTTTGTGGCCGTGTGATTCGGGTATACTAGCTATATACTGTGATTTGGCCCGTAGTTATATCCTTATATTGAATAATAGCTTACCATAGTACCTTCCCTAAGAAATGAGCTATCAAATGCAATAATATTTTTTTTAAATCCGACTGGTATTTCCGGAGATTGACGCATACAAATAAATTCTTCCGTTTTATTATATCATTATAAATAAATTGTTTTATTTTAGAGTCAAAATGCTATTACTCCGTTAATGACTTTTGTATTGGTGATTAACGTTAATATTAGAATTAAGAAATAAATTTGACGTATATATTATGGATGAAGTTCACACTGTTGATTGTAAAATATAATATTATTTTTATTCAATACTTCTAATATTTAATTTAATTTAGTGCTTTCTTGTCAGATCATACATAATTTCAGATACAATGGTAATTGTTTTTTTATAATAAATGACTAATGACTAAGTCTATATTTACTTCTTTGTTAATTATGTCGAAGAATTTTTTTAATGGTTGATAATGGAATGGTAACATCGCCTGTGCTATTGGTATACACTGGCGGGGCACCAGTGTGGGATGATAGATGAGTATGAAAGCAGGTCTGTTAGCCCATCGTGACGAATGCAACAAGTTCCCAGGGGGAACCGCGTGGAGGTCAACCTGATAGATCTTGCTAGCAATGGGGCCAATTGTCCCCATTACTAACAATACCCTTTCCCCCCTTTTTTTTTTTTTTTTTTTTTTTTTTTAACGTCTGGAAAATGCTTTATGCAGACCCATACACCTTGTGGGAGGTGTATGGGTACTGTGGGAGTCCCCCCGTAAGGTGGGGGTGTACCCACCAAAAACCAGACGATATACCCTCGAGGTGCCATATGTCGGAGACATGGGTTCGCTTTCGCACTCACCACATCTCCGACGGCAGCGACCCGCCCCTTGATGGTAAGAGCAGGTCTCCTCTCTCAAGATAGGGTGAATGGCGTGCTCACCCTACCACTCGGGGGATGCGCCGGTATATAAGCACATCCCCCAGGACCATTGGGACAATACCTTCCCACAGGTATCACCCCGGCCCCAGTGGGGAAGGAGGAGGGGCGGAACTGGGCACGCCCCTTCTTCTGCGTCTGACTCGTCTGCGGCGGATTGACGGTGCGAGAGTGGCACTCTCCCGCTCCCTTTCCGCCGCCTCCTTCTGCGACATGACGGCATCGCAGAAGACGAGCATTGCTTCCCACGATCTCTCACTGCTCACCATCCGCCGGACTACGGCGGGCAGCGAGAGATCGGTCCCCACTACCGCGGACAAGTCACGACGCTCATCGGCATACGCTGGGCACTCCTCCAGCGTATGCTCCGCCGTGTCCTGGTCCGCTCCACAGGCATGGCACTCCTCCGTCGGCTCCCTGCGCGCGATATGACACAGATATCGCCCAAAGCACCCATGCCCGGACAGTATCTGTGTCATCCTGAAGGTCAGCGGCCTTCGCCGCACCCTTTCCCCCCTGTGCCAAAGATTTAATGTGTGTAATATTTTTTCCTTTTTTTTTTTAGTTTTTTCTTACATATTATATGGACTATACCAACTTTTTATTTTAATTCAATATCTACATTTACGTAAGGCCTGTCTGAAGTTTGCCGATGGTTCGTCGGAACTCTTCCACTGAGTTTCCTGCTAGTTTCCGTTACGGAAAGAGCCGGGTCTCCGTTGAAGGTAAATCTAGATAAAGCGGTGGGTAACTCATTTTTAGGTTCGCGTTGCCGGATAATAAGCGGGATACTTTATTTTTTAAAAGGAAGAGGTTCTCAATTCGTTGGAATTTTATTGTAATGTTACACGATATCTTTGTAAGTTCAGCAGACATACTCTAGAACAGGGGTTCTCAAACTTATTTTGTCTATTGCCCACTTTGAGAATAAATTATTTTTTAGCGCCCACCATTTTTTCACCTACTTAAAAACCACTATTACTTCAAGATCAACAAATCACCCCCCAAGCCTCTACACAACGTCCCCATTTTTTTTTTCTGGATTTCTTACCGTCCCCCTTTAGTGCAGTGCCCACAAGGGGGCGTTATCGTCCACTTTGGGAAAGGCTGCAGTTCAAAATCTAATGAAATGGAATGATTTTATTTTGCTAGAATGTAGGTAGTTTTAGATGAAAGAGGTTTACATTTCCCATATACATTCTGCCTCTATGTCGGTGTGCAAATTTTTTTTTTTTTATTTTTTTAATTAATATCGATATCAATTCAATCTACCAGAGGGAGACTTTGTACAAAAGTCGATTGCTTGGGTACCTCTGTCCTACTCGTGTTTCAACCGTGAAGCAGTTGTATTTGCATGGCTGTGTTTCGGTTTGAAGGGTGGGATATAGCGTGAATTTACTGGGTACAGAGGAATAACACCTGAGTCCTCAGGAATGGCAACGCATGGGGGGTATCATGGGCGAAACAGTATACTCTGTAGTGTCCATGATACTGCTCACGTCTATAGACGACGGTTACCACTTTCCATCAAGTGGGCCGTCAGCTTGTTTGCCATTCTAAGTAGTATAAAAAAAAAAAAAAACTAATGTCCATGTAAATTTTGTACTGCACTCATGAAAACAACAATTTGGAATTAAGTTAAAATTTATATTGGTTTGCAATAGTTTACATTGACAATTTGCACTAATATGCATCTATCAGAACAGTATGGGACCATTATGTCGATACTATTGCAATTAGAGAGTAAAATGTTTCCAATTACAGTATCAATATATTGGTATTTATTTCAAGAGTAACCAAACTGATTTGATTTCGATGATTAAAATCGACGGGTTTTGTTGTGTGCTGGTCATACAGTGAACGCTCATTCATAACTAACTGACCTGCTTTCATCGTCATCTATCATCCCTCACTGGTGCCCCGTCAATGTACACCGATAGCGCAGGCGGGGATACCATACCATTATCATGCATTAAAAAAAAATGGCACTTAACATTTTTTGCCTTTTCAGCGTTCATAAACACAGTAATTAGATTTATAGATAATCTTTATTATCATTAATGAAATAAAAAAAAAAATCAACAATAAAAAAACGATTTATTTTGCTGGTAACAGGAGCCACCTCAGCTATTGCTATACATGCACACCTCCAGCGAGATGTACCTATATAGCGTTGATTTTCAGGCGGCCCCTTAACTTGTTTAATTTATATTACCAACTAATATGTCAGTGATGTGATGGGTGACGTATCGCGTATGATGGCAATGATATTCCGATAGTGGCAACTTGCTTTTATAGAGTCTTACATCATTAGCGTAGCAGGTAGTAGCTGTTGCTTACTTCATTGATATGTAATGTTATGAGAAAAAACGTGTTTCTACACATGTTGTTTTTAAATCCAGCAGTAGTCTTACAGTAATTGATTACAAACCGTCATATTTTGCAAACAAGAACGGCGATTCCAATTATGATAAAATTAATCTGTCAAATCGTAAAATAATTCTCAGAAAATTAATTAACATTACAAAAGAAAGAATGGTCAAATCAATTTAGAATTAGCGATGGAATCGCTTTAAGAGTATAAAGCTACAAAAACATTTTTTTTGTAAATCGTTTAGAGAAGAAAACGTCATTGATTTTAACCAGTCCAAATTTATTCTTTTTTTTTTTATGCAACTTACAATGGCAAACAAGTCGTCTGCCCACCTGATGGAAAGTGGTAACTGTTGCCTATTGACATGAGTAGTACCATGGACATAATAAGAGTATACTGTTTCGCTTATGATTTCCCCCTATGCGTTGCCATTCCTGAGGACTCAGGTGTTATTCCTCTGTACCCTGTAAATTCACTGCCATATCCCACCCTTCAAACCGAAACACAGCCATGCAAACGCAACTGCTTCACGGTTAGATCACGAATGAGGCAGAGGTGCCCAAGCAAACGACCTTTGTACAGTCTCCATCTGGTAATACAAACTCTTCCTCTGGTAAAAGTTAACTGGTGACTGTAATGTAATTTTGTCTGATCGACTTCCATGTGGTTTCTCCTGGAATACAAAATATCTATTACCATTTATTGAATCTCCATTTACATATATTAATATGGGATTTAAAATATGTAAGAGTATTAGGTATAATATTTTTTTAATAGCCATGTTAATTAGCGGTCAAATTCCTCTCAAAATAATGTCAGTGTTCGGTGTTTTTATAATATTTACGTTCTGGAGTCTTATCGGTACATTGTAAAAACAACGGTTTGAATTTATGAAAGCAATTAGTAAAAATGCCCTTTATCTAACAAACCGATACCATCCATCAAGAAACGCTACATTATTCATCTGGAATGTTATTGTCATATCGGAGCATCGTTTGTCGGTTTTAAAAACAAAACGAGAACGGCTTTGATGTTCCCCATCCATATCTCGAATGTAATGCATTTCCAATGAACGCGGTAGGAACTGTGCAACTCTCGGTGATATGACACCCGTTCATTAAAAATGTCAGCGTGCATTAACGACTTTGAACTTTATATGCGAAGACATACGAGTGTGATTTGCAGATTATTTAGACTAGATGCTCAAAATGTATACCATATTGGTGAGACCAGATATTCGCTGCCAGTTTTATTTTCCACCCATGTCATTTGCGGTATCGGGAACTATTATATAAAAGATTTACGACCAAACGATGTCACTGTGACCAAGAATAATCTTTGTTAGATTGCAATAAATTATAATGACAGTAATATGAATCAAATACTTTATGGAAGACATAGTCCCATGTTGGGCGCCAGTTTATTATGATACTAAGAAGTAACACCTTAAGACGTTTTTTGTCAAGCGCAATAGTTTTCATTCCTTACCGAGATTAATGCGTTTTGGCTTTCTTGTATCTCGAATATAGATTAGTGTCATAAATTTACATATAATCACAGAATTTACCCAGAAATAGAAGACAGTTCACGTGGTGTTGTGAATGGAGCACGTGGATAGAGGGCGCGGTCGCTCGATACAGCGGAGGCTGCGCGCTGAGCTCTCGCCCGGAGCTGCTACCCCACACACTGTTATAAACTGACCCTCCTTGCTCCTCTGTGATGTACCAAGGAGCGTATATCGAGAAGAAACTGTGGTAAAAAGGAAAGATCATCTTTTACTGGTCACAAGCTCGGTGCGCCAGTTTTACTAGAGCCGTTACGATATCTCTACTATGTCGTAACGAGTGTACAGCGAGGGTTCTACAACCGATGGATATAATATGGATGTCGACGATTCTGCCTCGCCGGCACCGATCGTACGAGTAGCGTAGCTAATGATGGGTTTATGGGTTTTTGATTTACGATAAGCTGTTTGTGCACGTAGAATTTGGAGATTTAACGTAAATCAACCGTGTTTTTGGTAATCTATTTGGAAACCTTACGAAAATTACCAATATAATAATACATTGACCAGAGGGAGACTTTGTACAAAAGTCGATTGCTTGGGTACCTCTGTCCCATTCGTGTTTCTACCGTGAAGCAGTTGTGTTTGCATGGCTGTGTTTCGGTTTGAAGGGTGGGATATGGCGTGAATTTACCGGGTACAGAGGAATAACACCTGAGTCCTCAGGAATGGCAACGCTTGGAGGGTATCATGGGCGAAACAGTATACTCTGTTATGTCCATGGTACTGCTCATGTCCATAGGCGACGGTTACCACTTTCCATCAGGTGGGCCGTCAGCTTGTTTGCCATTCTAAGTTGTATAAAAAAAAAACGGTATTGTTTATCTTTCGATGGTTAAGTAGATTTTATTTTGTAAACAACAGCAATCTCAATAGTGGTCAGTAATCTCTTTATTATATTTTAAAGCTAATATTTTGTCCGCATCTTCGTACGTCGTATTTTATTTTAAACCAATGAAATGACTACATCTAGGTGATGTATTAAGATAAAACATACACCAGATTCTAAGTTAGATCTTTAGGAACACAATTGTGAAAATCGTAACCGAATTGGTGTAGCAGTTTTTGCGTGATATAGATAGGGAAAATTTAAAAAAAGAATATTGGTTTGGCTTCTGTTATTCTTATTATATATATTTTTTTTCTAAATATTCTCTGTGGTAAAGTTTACCAATCTTAATTATAATTTTATTATAAGAACATATATGAACAATCCGGTCCGAAAATTAATGGTTTAAAAATATTTGAATTTAGAATGCGGAATAGTGGATTTACAGAGGTTTTGGTTCGCGGCATGTAATATTATTATTATTATGATCCACAAAGAAGAATGACAGCTCAGTCATTTTTATTATATTTTATTTTATTTTAATTTTTAATATCAAGTGACGACTATGTTTATATTAGTGAATATTAAACAAGGCTTTATATGATGAGATGAAATCACTTTATCATGTGGTTTGCTTAAGTTTATAATAATATCCCTCCAAAGTTGGTAGTTACAATATTGCGTCAGAAATAAGAACTGTAAATCATTTAGATGAATAAATATTAATGGTGGTTTTTAGTACGTGTTCTTTTTATAATAGTTCTTAATGAGTTTAAAAAAAGAAATAAACAGAAGATAAAAGTTGATTACAAACAATAATATTTGTTTATATGTATAAATAGTATGCATAAATGTATATGAAATTTCTGAAAACAATTCATGGTAGACTCTCAGATACCATATGTATTTATTTTGGTAATTGTAATTAATATTACATAAACTCTTCACATCCTTTGAATACTGTAAGTATTTATATGATTACGTTTTGTTACAGGTATTTGCTTATTGTTCGTACCTATATATGGATGGCTAGCGAATTGATGGATATGGTAAGCATAAAATAGGAGTTTGCATAATTAATTTACTGTATCTCTATAGTAGCTAATATATGTTCACATCAAATTTTACGTTTAGTATTTGACAAATACCTCTGACTACCTCATTTGAAATTGTAACCGTGAATATATTATAAATACGCCAATGGCGAATATTTATGATTTTAGTATAGTTAGAGCATTAAGTGTCAAAAACGTATCAACATTTAATTAGCTAAAATGTCATTTGGTTGACTTAGTTTGTCACATTTTTTTTAAACCTAAACAAAACGTTTATCTTTTTCGTATAGTATAATATAAATCGTCATAGTCGTAGAATACTGACGGATTTAACAAATATTAAATATATATATATCCGTCAGTATTCTACGACTATGACGATATATTAAGGTCGATTTCTTAAATTAGAAATGGATTTTTTTTTCTGATATAAATATACGCATGTACGTATTGCTTACAAATTAATAATATATGAATTAATTAAAATGGCGGCCATTTACAATGATTTTAAAACGGAAACTTATTTTACTTTTGTACTTGGATATGGGATGGTATTGAATCTTATTTATATTTTTTTTGTAGGATCGTAATGTCATCTCATTTTAGTAAAAATATTTGTGAAAATCAATTAAAAATTTAAACGTATTTGGAACCTTCTTATTTTAAATTTGCACAAAAAGTAGCTATCGAATTCTAGTGTGGCCACTTATGCAATAGTCTATCGTTAGTGTCCCCGTTGGTTTTATTTTTAGGTCGACTAACTAAAGGGAAGTGGCGGTTGGGGGAGTCGTCGCTCTGTCCATACATACATATGTATATACAATCTTGCTAGGACGTTGATTGATTGTGATTATGTCTGTCTGAATGATCGCAGAGGACATCTGTTTCATTTTATTAAATAAATGCCATGAAATCTAACCAATCGCTTGCTCCTCAAATTAGGATACTCTGTGTTATAAGAAACCAGGGAAACGTCGTCTGGGGGTACAACTCAGAACACCCAGACCCGAGTGAACTCAAAAAAGTTCGTTTCCTAAATTGGCTCGACAGGGATTCAAACCTGACTTAATTTTTTTATGCAACTTAGAATGACTAACACCCTGATGAAAAGTCATAACCGTCGTCTATAAACATTCCATTTCCGTTGCCATTCCTGAGTACTAAGGTGTTATGCCTCTGTACCCTGTAAAGTCACTGCCATATTCTACCCTCCAAACCGTGTAAACAGCCATATAAACAACTGCTTCTTGACAACAGACAAAATAAACAACTTTTGTACAAACTTACTTGAGATAAAAAAACAGGTTAGTTAGCCCATCGTGATGAATACACTTGGGATTCAACACGATGGTTTTCGCGGAGGGACCACGTGGAGGTCTACCTGTTAGGGTATATTGTTAGCAATGGGAGTAGTAATCCGCATTACTAAAAGCCCCTCCCTCATATTTTCTGTTGAAACTGTATGTTTTTTTGGCAATAAATATTTTCTATTTTATTCTGTTCTATTCTAAATCTTCGTAAATCTGTTACAATAGGACAGTTGATCTGACTTCATCCTCGCCTATTATCCCTCACAGGTAATCCGCCAGCCTCTCCTCTCAAGTTGGAGCAAACAATTTTTTTAAAATCGGTTGAGCGGTTTCGGAGATTAGCGTGAACAGGTGTTTAGTTAATACTATTGAATTTGCATACCTCTCAAATCTGAATTTACATAAATATACGTAGAATAGATCTCATAATAGAGCAGAGAACCATATCGTTTATATCTATAATAAGTATTGAAATCCCTTATACAGAACTGTATCAAGTTAGGGTTGTTTAATAATAAAATGGCCTTTATGCCTATAATGTTAAAGTCGGAGTTTCGGGCATGGGAATCGATTAAGTTAGAAGGCGTAAGGCGGAGATGGGATAGATAAAGTTAGTGTCCGAGATAAGTCGGGTCATTGAACTCGAGCTTTTTCCGTTCCTTTATGCTGATTTCGTTTTTATTGAATAAAGGTTTTATTTATTGCACAGAGATGTTTTTGTGGATTCGTATTGGGATTGTTTTTTTGGATGAAGTTCAAATTGCGTTTCGTTTTACTATTGTGTAGCTCGCATGAGGCTCATTTCCACTTTGAAATGTGCGTTTAGTTACATCAAATGACAGCAGTGTATATTTTTGTTATAATAGAATTTATAATTAATGAAAAAAGATCAAAGTTTTTTTGAAATTATCACAGAAACACTCTCAAAATGAAATTAGAAACAAATCGAAACATTCAATTAGTAAATCGATTTTTTATTTGTGCTTGTATTGGATATAAACAGACCGTCTTATACTCGTAATGATAAGATTGTCTTATAAAGATAATGATAAGGGTCATTTATGAGTTTGTTTACATTGTCATCAATTTCTGTTGAAACAAGTTATTTATATTGCTGTATTCTTCTTTATTTAGTTCTTGATCGTTGTTTGAAAATTATTTCAATAAGGTAAGTATTTGATAAGCGTTTTGTTTTTCTTTAAAACGCTGCTATATAGTTGAGATATATTAGTATTTTTAGTACCTAAAGTAGTTTTTTTTTCAAATTTGATAAATCTCGAAAATATATTATGAATAACGAGTTACTTATACGAATAATGCGCCTAGATAATGAATAACTGGTTTGTGAAACTATAAAAGTTTGTAAAACTATAAAAGTTTGTAAAACTTTAAAAAATTTTTTGGCTTTTTTAAAAGGTCTGTCTTGTGTCTACTAAATTAAATATTGTAACTAGCATCTTATCAAAAATGCCCATTACGGCTTTGATGAAAATATGTATTCAGTCAGATTATCCGCCATTATGAATTTCAAAATCAATACATTCCAGATGATAAAAATTTTATATAATATGAAATAGTCCACATCAAAATTGCTTATCAAAGATATAATGTACACCAGATCGATAGATCTTTCGTAACATAATTATGAACCTGCATCCAATTTGGCGCAGTAGGTGCGTGATATCCGGACAAAAAAATCTCTCTCTCTCTTTTCGTTTAAGAGTTTCCTCTTGTATAAATATATATACAGATAATAATTCGAAACTTGATCAGTTTGCTTCTAATACTTTTCTCAAGACTCTCTTATTATATTAATTTTTCCCGTCTAGTTACAATTTTATTATCATATATCAGTAAAACAAGATTTTATTGCTTATAATAAAACAGAAAAGGGTTTAATTAAGTGTGTAACATGTCAAACTATCCGGTCACTACTATGCTTTGGTAATACGAAGAACAAACCAGTTTATTAGTAAGAATGCCATAGAGTTTTGAGGTCACGGAACCGAAGCAATCTCGTTGAGCTGACTGCAGCGGATACCAATGTTTCTATTATCGATGTTGAGGTTAGACGAAACTACGTTATTTTCTTTATGTAATTGTTTGTGGATATAGATAATTTTTTAATTAAAATGTTGTTTCAAAATTATCGAATGTTTGAACTATGTGAATGTTTGTATTGAACTATGAGTAAGTATACAGTAAGTATGTAACTTAATTATGGTAAAGTATTTGGTATGAAAAAAGATTGTTTAAATCATTACGACGCGGATCGTTTTCTTTAAAAAGTAAGCCCGGTTCGTTCTTTTTTTCTTTAAAACATACTTTCGGTTTGTACCTATATAAGTAAGAATAATAAAAGATTTTGGTCCGTAAAATATAGTGTCAAATAGTTATATTTTAATATATATTGTAATAAATTTAATTTTATCTATAGCAAAAAAATAAATAAAATTGATTTAGAATTGCTGAAGTTATTGCATGATACACACAGACACACACAAACATACAAAATATGTAACTGAATTGAGAATCACTCTTTTTGCAGTCGCTTAAAAGGACCTCTCTACCACATTTAATGGTCGTATTGATTCCTTGCAATATGTTTCATTATTCCACCTATGTAATGGATTTTGGAATGTGCTAGAATCACATTCTAAACAGTTAAAAAGTTTTTTGTTATTTATTTTATGATTTATAAACTTTTTTACAACAGGCAAAGTGTAAAGTAATAACAAATTCGTCATTACAAAATCTGTATAACGAATTGCTAATTATACACCTTAATTATAATTTAGCTTGATGAAAATAAAGTTAGGCGAAACACGATTTATTATGGATGTAGGCCGACCTCTGAACCATTTAAACGTCACTAAGAGGATTCCCTTTATTATTTAAATCGGTTCCGACCAAGGTACTACTTATTTCCATTCATTTACAAATCAGTGAGTTTTTGTACACGGGAACACTCAAACTCGAGTATGGCTTTTTTCTCCTCGGGTCTTTTCTTTTCGTTTTTACAGGGTTTTTTAAAGGGTTTCTCGAACAAATGTTTGGATTAATTTGAATACGATTGAATAGGATGATAATTATGGATCGGACAATCGCTTACTGAATGAACTGTCGAGAATTCTTCTCCAGCAATAATAATAATTTACTTATAAATTCATGCATTTTTAATCGACTTCAGAAATGAAAGAGATTCTCGATCCAGTTGTTTTTTTTATTGTATGTTTGTTAGCTTCGTCATTTATAAATCTGTTTGGATTTTTTTTATCTGAAGCGATGGAAGGATTTTTTTTATTTGAAGCCATTTTCTAATTGCTGGTCTTATAAAAATTTTATTAAAATCGGTTTAGTACTTTAAATTTTAAATAAAAATAACTGGTTTTGCCTCAATTGAAGGCAGTGTTTTTTTTTTTTGTGGAACATAATCCTAATTTATTCCTTTTGGTGTTCACCTTCGTGAAAGTTCAAAGACTACGAACTACTATTTAGAGTGTTGTATATATTCCATGAAAAGAGAAAAATTCGTGCTCCATTTTCACCTAAATAAATTAAATATTTATCTTATTCAATCGTATACTAGCTGAACCCAAATCAGTAATTTTTTAACATCTCTGTAAATTATTGATGCTCATTCTTTATTCCTCTGTTTCCGTGAGTAGCGAAAGTAGATAAAATCTTATTTGAGAAATCAGTTCAGGACTATTATACAAGAAGAAGGTAAAAGCCATTACGAATTAAAACAAGTACTACGTACTTCCATCTTCATGTAGCTTTTATTCCGAATTAGCTTCCGCTAAACACATAAATGTTCATGTCATATCGGTTTGTGGTATTTCTAATTTGGGATTTCTTTAGAACATCTCCAATTTGGGCTCCAAGTTCGAAGAAGGCGTCTTCGACTGATTTCTGACTTCTGACTGATTCACCCGTACAACTTCGCTTATATATCATCTCTAACACATCACCTTCACATGCTGTAACCATCGTATAATATTCGTTTTTCAGTCCTAGTCATTATAATGATAATTAAATTATTTACTATTTATAAAAGAAGGTATGGGAAATGAGTAAGTAAAATATTTTATTCAATATTCAAACGTCTATATATTTTAAAAAGAGTGACAATTTCTAAATTTTATACTGCGCGCGCAACTTCGCATGCGCTGTTATTTATAATTTATTTTTCTACAGAAATTCAAAAGGTATTTATAAAGGTTTGTTATATATACAATATATATATACGCCACATCACTCCCCTCCGAGACCGTTACTACGGGCGATAAGAACCTTTAACTGAGCCAGTCATGAGAGCATGTAGAGGTGCTTGAACTTCGGCAGCGCTGGGAATGAATCGTCTGTAGAAATTCAGCATCCCTAAAAATCTGCGGAGTTCTCGAACTGTCTTGGGAGGAGGAAACGATTTGATCGCTTCAACTTTCTCATCAAGAGGTTTGATACCATTGGCTGATATATTATATCCAAGAAATTTTACTTCAGACCGACCAAAGTTACATTTTGAAATATTGATGACAATTCCGTAATCTTTCAATCTATTGAATAGTATACGCAGATGCTGCTCATGAAGATCCTCATTTTTGGAAAAGACTAAGAAGTCATCAATGTAAGGGTAAACAAAATCCAATCCACGCGTCATTTCATCAACAAAACGCTGAAAAGTCTGCCCAGCATTTCGTAAACCAAACGTCATGGCAGGAAATTCATATAGCCCGAACGGTGTTGTGATGGCAGTCTTGTGGATATCGCTTGGATTTACTGGGATTTGATGATAGGCTTTGACAAGATCTATTGTTGAGAATATTGTGCAACCTGCTATACTGTGTGTAAAGTCATGAACATGTCTAACTGGATATCTGTCAGGAATGGTGCGAGCATTTAGCATTCGGTAATCTCCACAAGGCCGCCACCCGTTATCCTTCTTCGGTACCAGATGTAATGGCGAGGCCCAGGAGCTTTCCGATGGTCGAGCAATACCTAATTTAATCATAGACTCGAATTCTGCCTTTGCGATTTTTAATTTGTCTGGCGCTAGACGGCGTGGAGTACAATAAATTGGAGGTCCGGGCGTAGTCCTGATGAAGTGAACGGTATTGTGTTTGATATCAGCTTGTTTTCTGGATGGATTTGTAATTTCAGGAAATTCCTTCAGGATTTGGTCGTAGCGAGACTCGCCGATTGGTATCTTGATAGAAGAAATTGCAGTCGACGAGTGTGCAGGAGAGCAAATGACGGACAGTGTCGTCGTGTTGTCTAACAAACGTTGGTTACGTATGTCTACTAGAAGACCATAGAATTTCAGAAAATCAGCTCCTATAATCGCCTTAGTGACGTCACCAACAATGAAACGCCATGGGAAATCACGGCGCAAACCAAGATCCAAATCCAGGTGAGTATATCCAAATGTGCTGATCGTAGTACCGTTAGCAGCAGAAAGTTGGAAATCTGATTTAGGACGACGCTCATGCAGTGCTCGTCGTGGGAAGACACAAACATCGCTTCCTGTATCGATTAGAAATTGCATCTTCGACCGACGATCTACGACGAACAGGCGACCAGACGTGTTGGGACGGCCGTTCGTCGCCATTACCGACCGCCCTGTGCATTTCCCGCCTGATAATCACAAGGCTTTACGCATCGCTTTGCTTTAGATCCATACTTTGCATGATACCAACACTTCGGGAATTTTCTATAGTTGGATTCCGATCGCGTTTCAGAGCGGCTACGACTTCTCTGACAGGAACGGGGACGAGACTGACGATCCAAAAGCACTTTCATTTGCCTCCGGAGTTCGGCTATCTCGTTGGCCATAGCGTCAAGTGATGATCCACATGTTGATGCAGCTGACACTTGTGGAGTAGCAGGGGCGATATCCTGGATACGGTCTGCTAAATCAGAGAGCACCTCCAGTGACGCTGTAGGTTGAGCAGCTATCACTGTCTGTACGTTGCGTGGTAGCCTACTTGTCCATATGGTCTTGAGAAAGTCCTCTGGCACGTTCGGTCCGGCGAGGCTTTGTAAATGCCGTAAAAATTGTGATGGGCGACGGTCTCCCAATTCCTCATGCATAAGTAGTTGTTTTACCTGCTTCTCGCGTGAGGCACTTAGACGTTTGATAAGTTCAGTTTTCAATTTTTCATACTTTTCCGTCGGAGGTGGTGAAATAATAATGTCCTTCACTTCCTTTGAAAATTGGTGGTCAAGTTGTCCAATAACGTAGTTAAACTTCGTTGCATCTGCTGTTATATTTGAGACGGCGAATTGGCCTTCAACCTGAGCAAACCATATTTCGGGTTCCTCCGGCCAAAATGGCGGAACTCGTATTCCCACTTTAAATATTTCGTCGTTGTTATTAGACGATGCCATTGTAATATGCGTTTTTACGGGGTCACCAGTTATGGGAAATGAGTAAGTAAAATATTTTATTCAATATTCAAACGTCTATATATTTTAAAAAGAGTGACAATTTCTAAATTTTATACTGCGCGCGCAACTTCGCATGCGCTGTTATTTATAATTTATTTTTCTACAGAAATTCAAAAGGTATTTATAAAGGTTTGTTATATATACAATATATATATACGCCACAAAGGTTATTGAATAGCGTATATATGCAAAGGGAAATCCTATAACTTGAAATGTTGCGAAGAAGCAGTCTTCTAATGAAGACACTTAGATCATGCAGGCGAAACCGTAGTTTTCTTCTACTTCTAGTTATCAATAAATTAGAGTCTTACTTTTACAATTCTATTAGGTCTTGGCAATTAATATGTGACCTCCTGTCAAACCTTGTTACTTGTCGCTCTTAAGATATAAGTTAACTTATTGACATTAATGTTGATTGACGTTTAAATTATTGTTTTATTAAATAAAGTTGTATATATTATATATAAGTTACTGCTATGTAGTCCCGGCATAGAATAGAGCACTCTCCTTCCTCGTGGGTGTCGTAAGAGGCGACTAAGGGAATATAATATAACAAGACTTGTTGAAGGATTTTCAATAATCACAGTGTAGTACAGAATAATTAGTTATTGGATTGATTGGAGTGAAATTTAATAAAGCGATAGGTCAAATATAATAAAGTACACTTGACATTATAAAATATATGTTTACTTAGAAAAAATTATCTAGTAGTTTTGTAAATGTTACAAAACAGCTTATTGGAAGCGTGCCCAAAAGGCGAACATTTAGTTCCATTTTGGACAGTCTCCATCATTGGGATCAAATTATTTCTACAATGAAGGACATCTGGCATACCCAATACGCTTACATATAGACGATAAAGACCTTCATACTCGAATCTAAGGGATAAAAGCGTGGAAAATAAGTACATTTTGCTCAATCCGGGAATAATATTGTTTCCAATTTTGATCATAAAAACACATACAGAAACTTGTGATGACAAGGTTGTTATGTCTACAAGTGATAGTTACAGTCTTGTAAATGATTCTTAGAAATAAAACATTTATAACTTTAGTTTAATGTTGAATAATGCACCAATAAGATGTAAATAAGAAAAAGATCAGCAAAGCAGCCAGTAATAATTATTTGCATTGGTAAAAAAGTGCATGCAAAATGAAAACTTACTGTTGACATGCACTTACACAAAAGAAGAAAACTGAAACAAAACCTCGTCACCTATAAACTTGGTAGGCTAGGCATTTCGTTCAACTCCACAGCTTGGCACAATGTGACACACCACCGGCAAAAAATCCATACGCGAATCCTTAAAAATCACACTGATTTAAACAGAATCTTTGGCTTCAGTGTTAAGATTCAAAATCGACAGACGCAGTATCGAATGTGTTGCATTGCATACCAGTTTAAACTTTGACTAGAATACGACCCACCTTTTTTCAAGCTTTTTCGATGATAGTTAGGAAATCGGACTCAGTGGTATTACTGTTAAGGTCGCAATTGCAATTTACGGTTAGTTCTTTGTTAAAATTCTTACCAGAAGTCAGCGAAATGTGCCCCCGCACTCACGTGAGCTTTTGTCGGAAAGTTGTATGAGGGCTCCTATTCCCTCCGCCGCATTACACGGCGTTTTCGTTTGAATATTATGTATTTTTTATTCGTCTAATACGTTGTGACCTTTTACTCGGGTATTCTGACACCTTTTCATTGTATTTGTTGTAAGGGATCGAGATTTTGCGAGTCCTTTAGAGCATCTGTGATTTCATTATTTATTTGATGTAGAATGTCATCATTCAATAATGATTTACTTCAATGTTAATAATATAAGATTATATTTCAGTGTAAACAGTTTTTCTTCGATTACTGATAGAGTTCTTTAGATTAAAATCTTTTCCACTACTTTATTCTACAACTTTTATATTTAGATTTTCCAATTCGCTTGCTCACGTTCTAAGATTTCCAATACCTTCATTAAGTAAGCAAGTGACAACAATAGCTTCAAATATTATTGTGGTGATACAATAGAGGGCCATGTATACTTATACACCCTAACCTAGGTAGATACAAGCGTACAATGGTACAATGTGACGTTCGCGGTTATTTCTGAACTATGTAGGCGGACGAAAGGACGAGCCGAAAATAGGCATTTTGAAGGATATTAGATTTTTTATTACTGCAACGTCTTGCTTAATTACGCACTTCTATGTTTAATTTCATATTGTCCTGGTTTTAACTTGGGTTAGTATTTTTATGGATTAATGATTTTAATATTAGGCAGTAGGTAAAATAATTGCAGGGGTTCATATCACCTGGTGTTGTAGGCATTCATAGGCAATGATTATTGTCATATGGGCAACACAATTGTTTAAACCAGTCATTTTATTTCATTGCTTTTAGATTTATCAAGGTACTAAAGTTCCAATAGGTAAAAATAAACTTACTTTCAAATAATCCCATCTCATTAGCCATTAACTGTCCACTGCTGAATATTGGCCTCTACCATAAAGGGGTGTTTTGCCAGCAGTTGCCATTCTCGGCATGCGGGTTGGCAACCGCAGTTAGGCTTTGATGATGTTTGTGTATGTTTTAAGAGAGCTGCTGCTGCTCATTCCTCGACCATTAAGTTCTTTTAAGTGTCTTTTACGACACCTACGCGAAAGGAAGGGGTGGTTCATTCTATGCTGGGATCACACGCCATTACATCATATTTGTAATGTATGAATTAAAAAAAATATATTTCACTGGTGGAACATTACCTTAAAACTATTGATTTCCATTTTATTCAGTATGTATAATTTTAAGTTATAATTACTAATGATAGTAAAAATGAAGAGTCTATGACGTATCTATCTATCTAGTAATTGTACTGAACAACGAATGCTCAATTAGAGATGGGTCTCTTTGTTGTAGACGCTCTATAATTGATTACTACAGGCCGGCGACCGGTCCGCACGCAAGCTTGATTACAAGGGCAGGGTTGACACTCTGAAAAATTGGTGAGCTCCCTGAAATTACGTTGTTGCTGGCTAGTTCTTGCGTCTATTCTTATTCATTTTACCTTAATTGAAGCTACTTATGCAAAAATCAGCTATCCTGTATGAATGTCCCAGATAGTGTAGTTGTTATCTGTATAAGTAGTTACAATCGCTAATCGTCATTGTCTATTGCTGTGTATAGGTCAGTCCCTTAGAGTAGGAGTAGAGTCTAAAATACAGAATGGTTCTTAGTTACTTTTTGAGGTTGTCGCTCTATTTAGTGAGACATCGTCTTTAGGATGTCTTTGGACTTCCTCACTATGAAAGCCGAGAGTTTATTTATCATTTCTATAAATATAAAAACAAACATGAAAGTATTACTTACCCTTAACAATATGTAAACAGCACGAAAGCTCGCAAGTCACAACATTGTTGGTTAACGACATGGGGTTGATGTCGGATGTTCATTTGAATATACAAGGGCTGGGATAGTTATTTCGCTGCGAAGCCCATAAAATGGAGGGAACACAGTCCCATTTACGTAATTTTTCTATACTTATCGATTAAGATAACAATATCGTGCGTTTCATTCGCAAGAAATCGATTAACACTAATTAGTAGGGGATATTTATAAAACAAAATGGCGTCACAGGCGTTAGTTCTTGACTAAAATTTTATGCTACTTCGTTAAGTTCATGTTTTTTCTGTAGCCTTAGGTTTTTCTTTTCCTCTTTCATTTTTCTCTTTTTATTACGTTCTCGAGCTTCGCTTTACCGGAACCAAGTCTGGAATAGCGATTACAAGTATTTTTTTAATATCCAATATCGGAGATATGAGGCAAACACCGTGATTCATTAATCCATGAAAATGGTTGAGATATTTTTAATTTTTTTGTTATCTTTACAAATGTGTTTATCGGCAGTTATACGCCATCGTCCGATTTCACGGCTAGATCAATGTGCTACCACAGAATAAATACATAATGTATTTATTTATTTTGTTGTGCTGCTTCGTTGAGAGCTATTGTCGGAAACTCGGAATCGGTCTATTGTTTATACCTACTGGAAAATTGTAAAAAACACCTGGAGCGAAGTAACGGATTTTTTGGTTGGCCAGATAGGGAAGTGGAATGGAATTGAATTTAGATAATGGTTTGTTCACAGACCGTGAAGATGCAGCTGCATCCTTGTTTAGTAGACGTACTTTACACTGTGCTAGCTTTTACCCGTGACTTTTTACGCGTGAATTTTAGTAGGAGGGAAACCAATGAATTTTTATTTCTAAAAGGCGTATCAAGATGACATATACGTTTTACGCTAGACCTTCAGGAACATATTTTTATTTTTTTATTTTTATTTATTTATGGCAACAAACAGTCATTTACAAAGTAATTAACAACAATATACATTACAGTTTTAAATACAACATTTAATATGATACAGTAGTTATGACGTTATACCGTAAGAAACATCCAGACAGACAGACAGAAATCTGAAAATATTGTTTTGACTTTTATTGCTCTTATAAGACTCTTCATAACAATGTTTCTTAAATATCTTATATGTACAGACATTGTACAAGTTTGTAATAGGTACGTGTATATAGATTAAGAAAGTCCTGTGTTAAATGTTATGTTTCGGAACACAAAATTGAGCTGTTCAAATTCTCTGTCACATATACGTCTACTATTGTTATATACTGTGACATGGTCGTCTAGACTGAAATATTTAATTTCCTGTTTCGTTAAATTTTAAATACCTAGTCATAGATAATAAATGAGTAATGTCGAGTTTTAGATTTATTTTTAAATATTGGTATGTTTATTTCCTTATTTAGTACTATTATGAAAATACCGAAGCCAAAAGTTTACAATAAATTTTACATTCAATTTGCCGAGATTTTCTAAAGTATCTCGTTAGTTTTTTGTGTTGATGGATGATAAAGGAACCTGCGGTAAGGGTGTAGTTATAG